TTATTACATGTACAGTCCACTTAACAGGCAATTCGAAGATTAGTGATCGTGATGCTTTTCATAAAATGTAAGTTTCCTGCGATTAATATGATAAATATTTCATTGGAACAAAATGAATATTCATGAATGCCCAAGTTTGAAACGTATAAGACGTACAAGATCATAGTACAATGTATAATTCAATATTACCGTTGCTGAATCATGTCAATTGAAATACAAACATTCTACATTACATAGAAATGATTGGCTGATGTTTTTTTGCTACAAACTTTCTTACTTGAATACTACAGTAGGCTTACGACATCTCTTTTAGATCGATGTCGACGGATGAGGGCAGTACCTCCCCTCAACTCGTGTGTCCAGCTTTTTAATTTGAATCAACCCCAAGAAGCTCGTTGAATCTTTGTCATCATTTCCAGCAACAAGTTTCAAACCATTGGAAAACACTTGATTTGCACGCACTCCAACAGCTTGATTCCTACAGAGTAGGAACGTCCCGCCGGTGTATTTTGTTTCAATATTATTCCTACAGTCAACAATAAATATAATGTTAGAGCGCCACTAACGTTCAGTCTGAAAATTATGATTATTAAGATTGGTGCTAAACAATATCTAGATAAATTATAGTTACTTATATTATGTTCTACATTCTATATTATATAGTATATATTACCACCGTATAGTAATAAATAAATTATATTTATCATATGGCATTGTGCGGTCTTGTATTTTTAAGTAAAAATCATATTCATTCATTCGTCCGTTTGTTCATCCATCCATTCATTCATTAATTCGTTCATTCATTGGAACTATTGTCTGTTTTGTGATCGAAACAATCTCAATATCAGTATTGCTTACTACACAATTTTTTATTGATTACTTATTTGACCTTTTAAATCTCTATCCACCATCAAATTTTCTTTGACAAAAAAGTGTTGTATGCCCATATAGTCATGATGTGCCTATATATGGTCATGATGTGATGTCATCATGACCATATTTAGGCATGCCATATTTTTTTACCAAATACTGTAAATAAATTACAGACAATGTACGCAGTGGTGGCGCCAGAGGGGCTAATAGTAAAAATCATATTCATTCATTCGTCCGTTTGTTCATCCATCCATTCATTCATTCATTTGTTCATTCATTCATTGGAATTATTGTCTGGTTTGTGATCGAAACAATCTCAATATCAATCTCCCACCCCCTGTCGGGGAAGACGATTACAAATTAAAAAAAATATGTTTACATGTCTGTTCCTTTAGCAACCATATCGCCTTCATTGACCTATTTGTGTACTGTTCGTGTTCATCACAATAATAACAAAAACAACAACAACAATAATAATAATAATAATAATAATTAATAATAATAAAAATAATATAATAACATAAATTCACGTGCCGTTAATTGTAAGCTATCCGACTACCGTATATATTACTTTTCACATTGAATTAAGCCCAAAAGGTTAAAGGTTATTCATTTATATTGCGCAAAATACGAGAGTCTCTAACAACAGATATTCTTCACAGTGAATTAATTACGCTCAAACATCTATTGGAACGTAAGTCAGCAGAACGGTGTCGAGTGTCAAAACAGCGTTTTGACACTATTTTTTAAAATGTCAGTGCATATTAATGTTATGTATTGAAATAAGAAAAAAAAGTACAAATGCTTCTTCCCCCCCCCCCCCCCCACCTCCCGTTTGAAAAATTCTGGATCCGCCCCTGTTCAATGAATCTAATTAGAAATGGTTTACGTTCTACTATGACAAATACTCGTTTGGATATCCTCATCAGATCAGAGAAGCCACCTCGTGGCTTACAGATTTCAGGCAAAATTTCCAAAATTTAGAACTTCACTTTGAATTATAAGCTTGTACTGTGACGTTCCCGGCCACATTGTGTTTTCTTAATTTATCGTAGTATAATGTCGCAATCACATGGATTATGAAAAACCTGGATTTTTCGCCATGATGGGAGGATAGTATTGTAATGTAATACGGTGTATTTTTTTTATAATATAAAATTGAAAACGGATTTGAAGTTAGTTGGTTACACAGCATACTCTTTGTTTCTCGTTGTTTTATTCAAAAATTTTCGGTTTTGGAAGTTAATTTCGTCATTAAAAAACATACATGAAGTCATATTACGGTAGCTTGAAGACTATCAAATAACTGATGTAAATTCACCAAAATTCGTCAAATATCCGTAGCTTCAAGGGCCCCTTGACCCCCACCGGTGGTACCTAGGCGGCTCCCTGGCCCCCAGCCAA